TTCTAATGAGACAGAAGGCACTCACGACTTCACATATCATACTGTACCTTGGGGTATTGCATTGGTGGCAATAATGGTTCGGGTAAATCATTGGGGAAGAAAGGATATTCGTCGGGACTTTTGTATCTACCAACCTGTTTTCCAAAATAGTGAAAACAGCACATCTTACACACTTGATGTATTCATTTCATTCCAAGGTTAATAGTTTAGTAAAAAAATGTACCTTGGCATGAAGCTTTTCAGTTTCTTTAAGGATGTATTCAACTAGAGAACCATGAAAATCATTCATGGAAAAAACATCGGGATTATAGGTATCCGCATTGTAACAGTATTGGGATCTCTCCAAAAGGTTGTATATTATACTGTCTTCTTGCCGAATCAGGGAAAGCCTTACGCTTTCTAGTGTCAGAGTGTCACTTTCGTCCACCCTTTCCTTCTTCTCCAAACTACAAAGAAAGAACCCTCATATCACCAATAGGTTATGGAATCTAACCATAACCCATGACCCTTTGAAACAAGAAGCAAAATAGCAAAGCAGTAGAAAGATATTTGGGAATTTTGGACCCAAGATTTATTCAGATCAAGCCGTGATAAATAAATGGTATCTCTAAAGAGTCAATTGTGCATACTATGACAATCTCCTTTGTGAAGCATGAAGCTCACTTTTAATTACCAATCATAGCTGACTGCTGACGGCACAAAACAGACCGCAGGACACCCCAAAATCTTCCACCAAACACACACACATATATATAGCTGGAATCAGAAAACCACTGGAAAAGGGCAATCGGCACTCTATCAGTCAAAAATTCAATAGCAAACAAGAGTCGGATTGAGCGCCTCCATCTAACTTTTTCTCCATATACGGCACCAAACTCATGAAATCAACGTGCATTGCACAAAGAAGCAAACTTTTTCAGTTCAGGCCTAGTCTAACTGTCAACGGTAGCAACCAATATTGGGGAAGAGATCAAGGCTGACATACCCAGCTGAGGAGTTGGCACAGAAAATGCGATGTTTGGCAGGACTTGATGAGGAAACTGAAACCCTTCGTGTACCAAGAGAGAGACGGCGGCAAAGTGGGCTGGAAAACTTGAAGGCATCTGTAGTCGGAGGAGCTGCAATTGCAGGCGGAAAGCAAGCTCTGGTCAGAAGCTTGGCCTCCATCTCAGTCTTGGAGGAAGGAGAGATCGAGGGAGGAAGGAATGCAAACTTGGGCGCGAGAGATGTGATGGGTTTCTTTGGCCTTTTTCCCGGTGAGATGGGATTTTCAGGGCTGGCTTGTGATTGGAGTTGGTGGCTGAGCGGGAAGGAGGGAGACGAGAGGAGAGGGGTTAGGTGAAGTAGGTGATGACCGCAGATATTGATGCGAAAGAAAGGGGACAAGGAACGAGACTGAAGAAGGTATCCGTCGGGCAGCACCGCGCGTCCACTAACATTCGCGCTGTCTGCGATTTTATTGGTCAATTCCTTTTCTACCCGAAAGAGAAAACATAATTTCTATAAAAGAAGAGAAAACAGAATCATAAGAAACTCTTATGATAGTTTTGAGTAGTTATCACACAATTTGTCAATTAGTACAAAATGGTTACTAAACTTTATTTTTTTACATTTTAGTAAAATATCTTTGAACGAATACTAAATCAGTTATTCCGTCTAATTCCATCTAAAAAACCATCAATTAAGTCCAGTCAATCAACTATAACTAACAAAATCTCTAATGACGTTAAAGTTTTTAACAAAAGTGGCTAAATTAGTAAATTTGTCAAACATGCTTCTAAAATATGAACTTTTTGTGTATTTATGAGAAATTGGCTATTATTATTACAAAGTCCATAATTATGACTATGCAAGTGAATTTTACCTAGAAACAATAAGTAGATAAATAAAAAACACACACAAAAATATTTCAATAGGTTACAAAAAATTCTTAACATACAAAAATTTAAAAAAGAAAAATACCTATCCAAAGTAGGAATGACAATGGAGCAGGTCGGGTCCAGGTCCAGGTCTAGGTCTGGTAATTTATCATGGATCGCGGCGGATCGGGGCATGTCGACTCAATGGGTACACAATTTATGTAACATCCCGTTCCCTTTAGTGCGTTACAAGTTATGGTTATATCACTAGTGACGTTATTATAATATTTTGATCGATTTTAAAAATTAGCAATTGATTTCAATTAACTTAAATTATGGTTATGGATGAGTCTAGTTAAGTTGAGCTGATGGTTAGATCAGTAAGATCACTTAACCTAGAAACCTTGGTAAGACCCACCCATGGTTAGACTTAAGTTAGAAGGTTTAGTGGATGGGGTTTTGATTGGGACAAGTGGTCATTTAGGGGTCGTTTGCTTCATGGATTTAAAAATGAGGGTTTTATAATTTAAAAACCCAAGGATTTATCAAGGATTTGAGGCATCATGGATTTGTAACAATCCTTTGTTTGTTGGGATATTTTTATCATGGATTTAAAGGTGTGAGATTTACTACTTGAAGTCAAAAATTACATTACTGCCCTTTTCTATATGTTTGACATGTTTATGATATATACACAAAACAAGGATAAAACTTCAAAATTAGCTTACTATCATTTTCTATATGTTTAACATGTTTATGATATGTACACAAAACAAGGACAATACATACTAATAAGCATAATGTTGTCACATGGACAATAATAATAAACGAGAAAATTTCGTTTTAACTTTTAACGTGACATAATCAATTACCAACTCTTTGTCCTCCTTTTCAAAAGTGACATATAACAACATATATTAGAATCGGGAGAACAAAAAATTACACGTTCCATGAAAAGGTCAAAGAAAACTAGAACACAAGAAATGATATAAAAAATCTAACTCATGTTTGCACATTAATTGAATGTTTATATTATTCATTTATTGTTAATTATAATGTATAATAGTTAAATTTAAGGGCAATCTTGGAATATTAAAAGTGCATGAGGGTATATGGGTAAAATCCCATCAAGGATTTATGCCATATTCCAAATCCCACATCAACATGTGGGATTTATAAGTCCGTGGGGTCCACGGATTTGGACCCTTAAAATCCGTGGGCCCCACGGATTTGGTCTCCAAAAAAGGTGCAAGCAAACAACGGATTGTACCTAAATCCTTGATAGTTGGTTTTTTTGTACCAAATCCATGTACCAAATCCTTGAAGCAAACGACCCCTTAGGATTGAAGGAAGGACGGGGAAATTTCTAGAGGATGGGGAAGGCAGATTTTTCTGTGACTTCTCCCCATTCCTTTGCTTTTCTTCCCCTTCAATCTTCATCCTCCCACGTCCACCATCTCTCCACTTTCCACCCAAATTTCCAGCAAGATAGAGAAGCAAAAAGTAATAAATCAAGAGAAGTAGAGGTAGGAAGCTAAAAGAGGAAGAGCATCTATGAGGGTTACAAGAGCATCAATGAGGGGTGTTTACCAACCACCCTTCCCAGCCGTTGTGGTTTTCAGGGTATTCCGAGTCGAGTTAGTGGCCGGATCTCTATTTTACTGGTCCGATCGAACAGCTCGACTCGATCTTGATAACCCTTGACCTCCCATCCAGAAAACAACACAATTACCACTATGCGGCTTATATTAACATATCAACTCTTGTAGATGTCTTGTCTTATTATGTTACCGAAGTTCCCCGGCCGCTGTGCTGGCCCCTGATGTAGCAGGTACCAAATTTTGTATCATCCCTACTTATTGTTGTAGGGTTGTAAATGAGGCCGATCTAGGTTGAGTTTGTCTCGTTAATAAATGAGTCGAGTTAGAATTCGGTTTGCATATAAAAAAGCTTGTGTTTGATTCGAGTTGGGCTCATTAATGAGCTCACAAGCTCGGCTCATCAATTAGTTTGTAAGGTAAGCTCGAGCTCAAATATCATATCATTTAGTTCTTAAATTTTATTTTTTCATATCGTGTTATTTAATAGTAATTAATATACGAGAAATTTATGATACATCATTTCTCTTTTATATTATAAATGAGACATATTTTGAGATGGGCTCAAATTCCTAATCATCATTATTTTGTGAGATATATAATCTAACAAACATATGAACTATCAACAAACCAACGTTAAGCTATTAATCGATTCGCTCATAAGCTGTTGGTTGAAGTGGCTCGCTAGCCATATTGTCGAGTCAGCTTATAAGCTCAAAACAAACTAACTCGCAAGTTAAGCTTGACAAGCCACCGAGTCAAGTTGGCTCATGAGCCTTGCGAGACGAACACAAATTAGCTCAAACCGAATATCAAACGAGATTTTTCCGAACCGAACACCGAGCCGCTAACCAACAGTTTGGCTCATTTGCGGAGCTAATTGTTGCTTTGCATTTTACTTACCTCGTTCTATACTTGCATTCTTCTTGAACATATTTCCTGGTGGATTCATATGACATTGAGTTTTCACATTGCAGGCGCTTTCTAAAAGAATTGGGTTAATTGCATGGTTGGTCACTAAGATTACAATAAACGTTCATGTTTGGTCACTGAAAATATTTAAATCTAATCTTGGTCACTCAAATTAGTTAAATGGTTCAAGTTTGGTCACTCTCCGTCCAACTCCGTTAAATATGTCTGATGTAGCAGTCAACCCTCAAAGTTGACCGTTAACTCGATGACGTGGCAATTAAAAAATAATAAATAAAATAAATTTTAATCTTCTACCATTTCCATCTCATTTTCACAATAAAGTAAAATAAAAAAATAAAAAACAAAATGTCAAGGTTCTTCACATAATCTCTGCATATCTCAAGCTTCCCACAAATCTACAAATTATTACCAAAAGAATTCTTCTTTTTTATCAGATTAGCTATGCCCCTTCTCTTTCGAGCAGAAAGATCGAAGAGAACGCAAAACCAAAAACAAAAAAGGGAAAGGGAAACCAAATCAGTCAAAAAGTAAATAACTTTCCCCTTCCACTGAAGCTAGCAAAGCAACCTCTTATTAAGGACTCTTACAGGCGTAAATCAGCAATAAGAATTCAAGTCTCTGTTGTTGCTGCTGCAACTGATTTCTCCTTCTGCGCTAATTTCTCCTCCGGCCACAGCCTGCTGTCCAGCCCACTCCTCGTCCGGAACATAAACACCGCCGCTGCAGGAGCCGTCGCTGTCGTCGCCTCCGGGTGAAAGAACCAGTCATGTACATCCCACATCAGATCCACAAGCAACCCATCAACGAAAATCGTTTGGTTCCCTCTGAAATTCCACTGCAACCTCTTCACCCGAATCACAACCTTCTTATCGATACAGACGGAGAGAACAGGGTGGTGATGCCTCTGCTTCAGCCCTTCCTTCTCCCCCTCGCGCCGCCGCCGCTGCATTTAATCAGCAATTTCTTGGACAGAACGGCGGATTCGTCGACCAGGTCGCTGAGGACGAGGGCAATTTCGGAATCGACCAAAACGATGACGTAGAACCCGTCGATGGGCTCCGGGCCGGAGTCGTAGCGGGCGGAGGAGAGATCCCAATAGACGTCGAATTTTGAATCGGGTTCGCCGGCTTCGATCGAGCGGCTGCCCTTCTTCTTGCGGAAGAGGTCGGAGCTGGTGTTGAGCTTGAAGGTGGACCGGCCGTTGGAGATGGTGAGCCCCTGCTGAGCAGCGGATTGGAAGCGAGCCCATGTGGATAAGAGGAGGGGCTTCTTGTGGGAGGAGAGGCTGATTCGGTAGAGGGAAGAGACGACGTTCTGTACGGAAGAAGTCGCCGCCGCGGAGGGAGAGGCCGAGGAGGAGGAAGAAGAAGCGGCGGCGGTGATTAGGGAGGAGACGACGGCAGCGGCGGAGGAGGAGCAGGAGAAGGAGTACTGATGGTGGGGTTGTTGGGTAGCCACGTTAATGGCGTTCTCGCTGAAATAGGACACGAAGTCTCTCATCGTTATAGAGGGGAATGAAACTGTGGGATTGGGTTTTTGGTTTCAATGTGGTGTAGAGGTTTGGTGAGAGAGAGAGAATGTGGGATTTTTTATATTTTTTTTATTTTACTTTATTGTGAAAATGAGTTGGAAATGATAGAAGATTAAAATTTATTTTATTTATTATTTTTTAATTGCCACGTCACCGAGTTAACGGTCAACTTTGAGGGTTGACTGCCACATCAGACATATTTAACGGAGTTGGACGGAGAGTGACCAAACTTGAACCATTTAACTAATTTGAGTGACCAAAATTGAATTTAAATATTTTTAGTGACCAAACATGAACGTTTTTTGTAATCTCAGTGACCAACCATGCAATTAACCCTAAAAGAATTCATTATGGAAAATTTGTAGCCGAGTCTAAATTTCGGACACACCCAAGTGACTACAAAACTGTTATCAAAGCGCAAGTAGGTTTTCAAAACCATACACTAGTACAGTACACGATCTCGCAATAATTTTCTCTTGATACTTGATATGTTGATCTTTGGATGAACTTCTGAAACTCTGCAGGCAGGAGAAGGATTGATTGTATTTTGACCAAGGGTTAATACCTTATTTTGGTCCGAACTATGACCATATAATCAATTTTGGCTCGTGGTTTCAGAAATTAACATCCTGACCTCAACTATGCAACATATAGACTCAATTGGCCCGACACATAGTTTGACCGTCAATTTGGACGATCAACTCCGCGACCGTTAGTCAACACGCCATCTCATTGCCTAGTCAGCCTAAAAATCATTAAAAAATTTATTTATTATCAAATTAACGAAAAATAAATTATAAAAAACATAAAATAAATTTATTTTTTATTTTTTGAAAATGATAAATTTTATAAATTAACCAAATCAAATAGTTTTATATTTTTAAAACTTCCCAAAAAAATATAATTTATATCATAAATTTTAATACATAAAATTTAATTTGATAATTTTTGTTTACTAATAAAATTTATCATTTTCAAATATCCCAAAAAAATTATTTGATAATTTTTTCAAATTGACGGTCAAATTATGTGTCAGGCCAATTGAGTCTATATGCTGCATAGTTGAGGCCAAGATATTAATTTCTGAAACCAAAGACCAAAATTAATTATATGATTATAGTTTGTACCAAAATAAAATAAGTATTAACCCTTGGGCCTTGACCAAATACAAACAATTAATCCTACTTATTCGTCTCATGTCACACACTAAGGCCCAAGTTCAAGCTCCTCTGTAATTGGAGTGGACTTTTACATCAACAATCAACATGGTGCCATGGCCCAAAGCCCAATTGACCCAAAACAGGCGCTAACGACAACTTTGTTTGAACTGATAGTTCGCGGACCTCATTCTTCGGCGAAAGCGAGCCGTATCACTAATCTCCGGCGATGCAATTGCGACCAGCCATCTATGGCTAACTGCGGTGCCCAAATATCGACCCCAATTAGAGCTCCGGCATGGTTCTCAACGAGAAGACTGTTCGAGCAGAAGTTACAGGAGCTTCACAAATGTGCAGACTTAGCCCACGTAAAGGAGGTTCATGCCCAGATAATCAAGCAAAATCTCCACACAGACCTCTACGTAGCTCCAAAACTGATATCGGCATTCTCGCTTTGTCATCACATGAAGCTCGCTCTCAACGTCTTCAACCAAGTTCCGCACCCCAATTTGCAACTCTACAACACTCTGATTCGAGCTCATGTCCGCAGCTCCCAACCTTCCATGGCGTTCGCTGCTCTGCTCGAGATGCAGCAAAATGGAATCTTTCCTGATAATTTCACTTACCCTTTTCTTCTGAAAGCTTGTAATGGAGAGCCCTGGTTGCCGGTTGTGCAGATGATACACGGCAGTTTGGAGAAGGTTGAATTTTTCGGTGATATTTTCGTGCCCAATTCGTTGATTGATAGCTACTCCAAGTGTGGTGCTTTAGGAATTCAGTCTGCGATGAGGCTGTTTAGGAGTATGGACAGCAGAGATGTCGTTTCTTGGAATTCTATGATTGGTGGGCTGGTGAGAGCAGGGGATCTGGGTGGTGCACGTGAACTGTTCGATGAAATGCCTGTGAGAGATGCGATTAGTTGGAACACGATACTAGATGCATGTGTAAAGGCCGGAAAGATGAACGAAGCGTTTGAGTTGTTTGAGAAAATGCCTGAGAGGAATGTTGTGTCATGGTCTACGATGGTCTCAGGTTACAGTAAAGCAGGGGATATGCAAATGGCTAGAATGCTGTTTGATAAAATGCCAACCAAGAATATGGTTTCTTGGACTATACTCATATCTGGGTATGCCCAAAAGGGGCTGGGGCAGGATGCAGTAAGTTTGTATTCTCTAATAGAGAAATCTCGACTTATGCTTGATTCGGGTGCTGCTGTTAGCATACTGGCTGCCTGTGCAGAATCTGGTTTGCTTGGACTGGGGGAACGAGTTCACTCCTCGATTGCAAGGACTAGATTAATGCACCATGCTGATGTGTCTAATGCATTGCTTGATATGTATGCAAAATGTGGGAGAGTAAAGAAGGCGTATGAAGTGTTTGAGCGAATGGCAGAGAGAGATGTAGTTTCTTGGAACTGCATGCTTCAAGGGCTAGCCATACATGGGCATGGAGATGAAGCACTCATGCTCTTCTCCAGAATGAAACAACAGGGTTTCAAGCCCGATAAATTCACTCTAGTAGCAGTTCTTTGTGCTTGCACTCACTCCGGCTTCATCGACGAGGGCCTCAGGTACTTCAACAACATGGAGAAGGAATATAGGATTGCTCCCGACATCGAGCATTACGGCTGCGTGATTGACTTGTTGGGCCGTGCTGGACGTCTCAACGAAGCAATTAGGCTCGTGGATTCCATGCCGATGGGACCAAATGCTGTCATCTGGGGTACCCTTCTGGGGGCCTGCAGAATGCACAATGCTGCTGAGCTTGCTAAGCAGGTTCAAGATCACATGGCGAGATTCGAGGAGGCATCAGAGCACGGTACTTGTTCGGTGCTGTCGAATATTTATGCAGCTGCTGGGGACTGGGTGAATGTTGCTAATGTGAGGCTCCAAATGAAGAGTGCTGGAATCCAGAAGCCGTCTGGTGCCAGTTTCATTGAGGTGGGTGATAAAGTCCATGAATTCACTGTATTGGATATGTCCCATCCTGACTCTGGTGAAGTGTATGAGATGGTCGATGGATTGGTTCAGGAACTTAGACTGTTTGGTGATCCCTCAAATGATCACCACCACACTTACTGAATATACCCCATACTCTCATTCAACTTTTGGCATTCTTGTGTGTTCTCTGTAAATATTTATAGACAACTAATGAAGTTGATAAGGGAAGCTCACTGCGACCACTCTCAAATCTCTACTCTCGACTGTTACAATTGGGAGAAGATAGCTCCTCCCTTTCTCCTCTCTCTCGGATCCCATGTGTAAGGGTGGGCAATCAGTTTGAGTTTATTGAAAGAAAATTTCCAATAGGGGAGAAAGGGGATCAGTTCCTTTCTTTTACGATCTAAGCTCCTATTTGTCAGCCGTGGGGAACTACTGCTTGGTCGGGAAGAAGGGAAAGGTTTGGGCCTACCTATCACGATACTCAACCAATTGCCCATCACTAATATGGGTACTCCATCATATGCGACTCAACCATCTCATCCTTGTGAATGCATCCGATGGCTGATGTATAATCCAACATATAGATCAACCCTCTCCTACAGATTGATTAGAGCCAGCCTAGATAGTTGTGGAGCCGATCCAGCTCTCAAACATAATTCACTTTATCTTAGCATAAGGCTGAGAAAGGTATGGCTCCAAACATAGAGAAATATTGGTACATTTTACGGATATAGTCCAAGCTCTAAGAATGTGATACATTTTATGTAAGAAAAAAATACATATCTAGAGAAATAGTGGAGGAGAAAAATGCTCCACGCAAGAAAGAACTTCCAATTCTCTTTTTGTGTGGACATTGTGCTTACTCCATGGCTACATATCAATTGGGCTTCATCAGCATGAGCATGGGCTCCTGTTGTTTGGTGGCGCGCTTTTGCCGTGTTAGCAGAATCTGATTGGCCATTTCCAAGTATAATTGGACGAGTACTATCTCTCTACAGTCTTACCCCTCCAAGTATTATAACATTTGCTCTACACTACACGGGATAATGTGACTCACTGAGTGACTTCATGTGGTTCTCAGCAATCCTCACGTTCGCTATAAATACTTCTCCCGAACCCACCCATTCCAAACAGACAAAAACAGAGGGAAAAAGCTTGGATGATCATGGATGCCAATTGCTTTCTCAGTTCCTCCAATCCCTTCACCAAAACTACTACTGCACTAGAATTCCCCACTCCTTCATCCAGATCCCTCCACTTCCCTTGTTCAAGAAGATGCTCCAACGGATCACAATTTCAACCCAAAAGAGTTCGCCTTTCCTCCTCCATTACATGTTGGTCTCTCAACTGACTTCCATCATCTCTTCTCTACGCCTTCGATTTCGTTATTCAGCTGATTGTTTGCCGCCAAAGTTTTGATTTTTATTGCATATGGGTAATGGGTAACAGGCTGTCAATCGGCGGAATCGTCCGACGATCTGCAGCAGCACGCCGAATCCTTCCTGCAGGCTGATTGGAGATGGTTCAGGGCGAAAATGGTCGCTAACGAGCAAGCCTTTATGACCGCGAGCACCGGGAAAAGCTCGCCGGCGGCGGATCCAGACGAGAAGCGTACAGCACAACCGCCGCCGCAGCTGGTGACGGTGGGAGATAGATGGGCCCACGCCATCCACGAGCCGGAAAGAGGGTGCCTGCTCATCGCAACGGAGAAGCTGGATGGGGTCCACATCTTCGAACGGACGGTGGTCCTTCTCCTTTCAACGGGCCCTGCAGGCCCATTGGGCATCATCCTCAACCGCCCGTCTCTGATGTCCATCAAGGAGATGCGAAACACCGCGACGACGTCGTCGTCTCTGTCTGTGATGCCTCCAGAAGCGTTTTCGGGCCGGCCGTTGTTCTTCGGGGGCCCATTGGAGGAAGGCCTGTTCCTGGTGAGGCCCAGAGGTGGGTACGACAAGGACAGGCTGGCGAGGAGCGGGGTATTCGAGGAGGTGATGAAAGGGTTGTACTACGGGACGAAGGAGACGGCGGGGTGCGCGGCGGAGATGGTGAAGAGGAATATGGTCGGCGTCGGGGATTTCAGATTCTTCGACGGGTATTGCGGTTGGGAGACGGAGCAGTTGAGGGAGGAGATTGATGCTAGGTATTGGACTTTGGCGGCCTGTAGCTCGAGTGTTATTGGGCTGGATAAGGAAGCTAGTTTTGGGCTTTGGGAGGATGTCTCCTGGCTTGTTGGGCCAAAAGCGGTTTCTTGACCGGAGAGATTAATCAATGTACTGGAATTTTATGTGGACTGAAATGTGATTATCTATTGGTAAACTTGGCTCAAGTTATTGTAAATGATCTCTTCTTGGACCTGCCAAAGCTCCTTGGATTACTAAACGTTTCCCGAAGGACGATGAAAAGGAGAAGGCATTTGAATTTTCCAGTTCCTATATAGAGCATTAGATAGAGCTCATTAACTCCTACGGTTTTAGGCCTTAGCTGTTCAGCATTCCATAATGAATGAATATACTACTTTTTTCTTGGGAATTTGCATGAATGAGAAGTTGGAACGGTTATATTATCTCCCCATAACCCTCTACAGTCACTTCACCACTTTGGAAGCTTGGAACACCAGAAAAGAAAACCACGGGTTGGTCTGCCTAGGGGATTTCGATATCGAACTCCTGCTGGTCAACCCAGTGTTGCCGGGGGAGAAACGATTTGTGAGCTTGGAACGTTTCTTTGACTGCGATACTGATACTGAAGATGTGAAATTAAAACGTGTCTTGGAGTGGGATAGTGATTATGATTATGAGAACTGCTCGGCTTTTTCGTACGAGTGGGTTGGTTATGGATTTGGATACGACGAGGTAGCTCAGGACTACAAAGCCGTTGTACTGCTAGCTGATATCTGCAGATTTGTCGTCACGAAGTCCTACATTTTAACTTATTGCTTTAGGACCAGATCTTTTAGCCTCTGTCCCTTACATTATGACTTTCGTCATTCCCCCATAGAAGATCATAGCATGGGCGTGCTTGTTGGTGGCTCTCTGCATTGGATTTGGGAGCCAAATGTGATCCATTCGTATGATCTTGGTTCTGATGTGTTTGGAGAAATCCAGCAGCCAAAACCCAAAATACGCAGCACAATTATCTTCCTCCTCGGCCGGCGTTGGGGTCGTGGATTCGTGCCTGTGCGTTTGTGCTACTTATGCTGAGGGGAGTGCTGTGGGTGGGGGAAAGCTTGATGTTTGGGTGATGAAAGAGTACGGGAATGAGGATTCATGGTGCATTCTCCATTCTGTAGTTGATAATCCTGTTTTCGATCAACCTCCTCAAGTGGTTCGATGTTTGGGAATGTTGGATGGCCAGATTCTAATGCTGGTAAATGGTAGTGGGCTTACCTGGGTTGATCCAAGGAATGGGAGGGTTGAGGTTGTTCCCATTCCTGGTTTTACTAATGCGTCCAAGTTCGAAGCAGTTCTCTGCTTAGAAAGTCAGGTCAAAACCTTCCCGGCCGAGGATTATGAGACACGTGACGATGACATAAGGTAATACTACTACTGGCTACTACTACTCTTTCCTGCCGGCATTTTTATGTTTCTGAAATCGGTCGGTGGTCTGAGTTGCTTGTTAATTTAGGATTGCTAATGAAGTAGAGAAACAGGGTTGTAATTGCAAATCCAACTCTTTTTATGCTTGTTTTCCTGCCCGTTTGCCTTTGGATTTGAGTGTTCCCAATCACCCAACTCATCTGAAGATATCTTCTGTATCTCCAGGACCGAGACCTCGGAAGCAGAATCGTCGGAGGAATGATGACAGCATCGATCATTCTGATATTTGGTTGCAGAATTTTAAGCACTAGTGCGCAGTAGACGTTGGCAGGTGCATGCAGTATGGCAGACGTCTGAGTTCTTCACTGTTTTTTTTTTTTGCTCGTTTTTATAAGTTCTTCATTGTTAAATTGGACATGCTATGCTATGCATTGAGTTCTCTTTTGATGAAAGAAATAAGGGTAAATAACTTAGTTTGGCCGTGACAGTTTTTGCCCGAATCACATAGGAATGTTCTCTTCTTTTTCCTTCTACTAGTATCAATACCCGCGACTACGCCGCAGGATATTTAGTTGCATTGGGCCAATCAAATTACCCCTTGTATGTTGTAGGAAAAAAACTCATGGGAGCTTTTTTTTTTTTTTTTTGACAACATTCATCATTCATTTCATTCCAAACCCAAACAAGGGGAGCACAACGATTACAATAATGGAGTTACAAGGTCGGCAACAAGAAACCATTCAGGAGGAAGGAGATCAAGGCGAGAGTTCCTAGCGATCCAATCAGCAAGCTTATTGAGTCGACGAGGGACAAACTCAACCGTAATCCAAGGAGAAACACAGAGAATGGAAACCACACGAGCAAGAAATGCCCGACACTGCCAGGGCCAAAGACTCGGATCCTGCCTCAACGCAATCGTCAACCTCTGACAATCGGAACGGACACACGTTGGTACAGGGTCCTGGGCTGCCCAGATAACTGCATTAAGCATCGCAAACGCTTCCGCTTGTATCGGAGAAGAACAAAAGAAACGCTCAGCCTTCCCGTCAATAACCTGACCGTGGGAGTTTGCAATAGCAATCCCATAAGCCGCCACCTGTGCATCAGAAACAAAGGAACCATCACAATGCACAACCTTACAGAAAGGACCAGGCGGTGATAAGGTCGAAGATCGAGAACTCCCAGGCTGAGAAGACAATCCAGCTGGACGTGAGGGCATATGAGCTGAGGATCCGATCCTAGCTTCTTGGACGTTTAACATATCACGTTCGGCTAAAATTGCCACAGAGGGCGGAGAGAACGCCCGACTCTCAAATACCCACCCATTTCGAGCAATCCAGATATTCCATAGTGAGCACACAATCCTGGTAATCTGGCCAACAGGGGCTCTATCCTTGAATCCAAAGAACCAATCCACAAAGCAAGAGTCAGCCCCAGGCAGCACATTCTGCAGTCCAAGTTGAGTCCAAGTCTGAAGAGCCTTTGGGCATTGAAAGAAGCAATGCAAGATCGTTTCTTCATGGTCCTCACAGATTGGGCACAATGGGTTAGGGGCACACTTGCGTCCAAACAGCCTCGCTCGTGTTGAAATAGCATTTTTACCACACTTCCAAATGAAGAAACGAAGCTTAGGAGGCAACTTGAGGTAAGATGCGTCTTTTGCCCTTGTTTTGCACTCTTGGCCACTGCCACATATAAGTGCATGCCTTTGGTAGTTTCAAGAATTAGTAGCAAGGTACTCACAGGTAATTCATGTATCTTATCTCTTTGAGCAGTTTTATGAAGTAAAGTCGTCATGAAGCCAGAGAGGGAGGATTAAACAAAGTCTCAGATTAATCTGGCAAGCTGACTAATTAAACCAAGACTTAATTTGAAAAGTGGTCGTGGGTAGTAGGATCGGATTAGTGGGACTAATTGAACAGGCTTGCTACTGTGAGCTGGGAACCTGCCATTGTTAACGCAAGATAACACTCGCTGCATTTGTTTCCATTTAAGACCCCCCTTTGTTAGTTGATTAGGGGTTGACGGCAAATTATTCTTGAAGCTTGTAGTATTTGTTTGTTAGCTGGCAATTTGCTACTGACTACTGTTGTTACAGATGGTTTCCTGTGAAATGTTATAAAACAAAAGAGAGAGTGCTGAAATTACTAACTATTGGGTGGTTTGTCAGGATTTACAGCAGACTTGAGGTTGTTAGGTTTTCTTTTTCTAGTCAACAAATAGCACATCCATATACATTATGTTGCAGAAATCTATCGTTGAGAACACATGAACCCATAAATGACAGGAAATTAAGCAGGGTCTTGGAAAGGAGAAATGAAAAAATAACACAGTTTACTGGAGTTAACCATATCAATTGAAAATCAACTACACACATAATTTTCTAGATCCTGTTAACTACAATTATGAGGCAAAGGTATCCATCAATTGTAGAGAAAGAGCATTACCGGAAGAAGGTTGAATGTAGAGGAACTTAAGAAGATCAGACAGAAATGTCAAATTGAAATGGTAACGGCAAACCAGAGGGCAAACACTGTTAAAATCAATATTTAAATCCAACCCATTGAAAAGCATATGGACTGCGCGTGTGACATGAAAGAGGATTCAGCTTACTGATCGACATGTTTAGCAGCTTGTCTGTCGGTTACACAATCTCGATGACCATTGATGATGAGAAATTATAGCAGGTCCTTAATGTCCCTTACTGATGGAGAAGCTCTTGATCCATACTCATGAACTGAACAAACCTATCATGCTATGAGAAGAGTTTTTGAAGCGCACTATCCTGGAAATTTCTACATATAATCAGCAAGGCAAAAAGGAATAGAAATTGATTACCTATCAGATCATGACTTCTCACAGCAAATCATATAAAGTAAACTTAATATGGATTCTGAAAAGTGAGAATCTTATACCTGACCATCTTTCAGGTAGGATTCAATCAATGCCTGATTGGTGATGGTGTATTTCTTGCCTGATGGGAACTAAGAGAAGTTTTAATTAGAGCTTGTATAAAATCTTGAAAAAGTTAGACTACGAAACAATGACAAACTGATCTAGAGTAAACAATGGGGAAAGGAACAACATGGATTCACGAAAATGGTTGACATCCAAACACGAATCCATTTAATTGAGTATTTAAACATGAATTAAAAAACACATAATTTGAGCAACAAATTCATGAAAAGGGTTCACAAACTTACATTTAGTGATGAACTGCAGTTCCCGAATGGTTAAGTAGTAAATCAATTACATTCCAAAGAAATAGCGTTGTAGCAGCAACAAAAGCATGCTTTATACTACTGGTCCCGACCTGTAAAAGCAAATGATGGTAAATGTATAATTAGGTTATATGTAAGCTAGACGGCCCAGCAATGAGAGAACTCCAATCAATTTGGAAGAGGTTCTGAAACTCTGAACTGCAGAAAGATCCTGCAACTCCTCCAGGACCCTGTACTGAGCAACAATGATGGTAATTTTGTTTAAATGAAATAAACAATAGATACAGCAAGCACACAAAGTCTCATATTATGTGAATGGTAAATAAATCATTGAGCATATCAAGAAAATCAATAGAGAAGTAAGCACCTTTCAACCCATCTGTGAAGAAAAGAAGATTAACACCTATCAAGCCATTTTTGTTCTTGGTGTCCTGAAACTAATCTAAACACTTCTAGCCCTGCAATTTCCCCTATAATTTGGCATCTCCATCACCTATAATCCTCTCCAATTTCAGCAGCTCATTCATCAACAGCTTGTTAAAGCTGAAAACTTCATTTCCTCCTACATTCCCACCTATACTATTTACTGATTCAAGAGTCCAAATCTATAAGAAGCAACCAGGTTTGACATTCGGATGAGAACTGGCAAATCGAATTACCTACAACCAATGGAAGAATATCAAAGAGAAAACGGCGAGGCAGTAGACTTCAAAGCTGATCTCGGAAATGGACCACAAAGATTTCTCCATCTTGCCATTCTTTCTCATCTCAAGGAAGCGCTTCTCCTGGCCAATATGGGCTTCAAGCAGAACCATTTTGGACATGTCTCTAACCCTGTTATATCCATGAACGCGTTGGAATACCTTTCTTTTGTCTTTGTAAATCAGTTTTCGGTCTTGAGAGTGTAGGCAAGTTGTTCCAGTCAACAACTTCTTCGGGCTGGAAAAAAAAAACCAAATCAAAACTGAAAAGAGTGTAGAAGGGGAAAAAAGAGAAGTGGGGCTTGCACTTACAGAATGAGGCTTGAGAGTTGATGTTGAGTTGTAGAACCCCAGGTTGCTGCTGGTCTGCTACCGTAAAAAGAATCATATTATTGTTGTTGACTTTCCCTCGACTGGTCGTCCCTCGTTATGTATATCTCTGTCCGCCCAGCACTGAACCACAGGCGGCCTACTGAGCCCAAAACTGTGATCCAAACACGACAGGCGAGGCCATCAAATAGCCACCGGAGCATTGAAAACTCCAACGACGGAGATATGGAAGGAAAAAAAAAAAAAAAAACAAAAGTCCAGGAAAGCAAAAAGGAAATCAATCGTACGAAGTGAAACCTGTATTGATAACTCTGCGGCCATTGCTGAGAGGTCAAAGGGCCGACACCTTCACCGCCATCGGCATTCTTCTCCTCGTCGTGACCTTCCGCGTTCTGAGTTTTTGTTGCTGAAGCTCGAGGAGGGAGAGTAGAGTGTGGTCCGAGAAACTAATTGGTGCCATCTCCGGCATCATCGGCACCGTCGTCATTGTCATGTCTATCGGAGTCATCTATAGAAATTTGCATGTGGGAGACCGATATCAATCATGCTTGGCCATCTACACCGACGATGCTGCTCTTATTGAGGAAGACGTTAACTGGGAGGGAGTTAGGTTTAGGAGGCGGCAAGAAGATTAGGGTCTTGTAGACCCGAACAGGGAGAGTGGACCTCTTCTTCCCACCACCTCGCCCGAGGCTCCACTCGAAGCGGAGAGCATAGAACGAAAAGCAGCAGAGTCTCTTTTGGATGAAGGGGTGGAAGATGTATTTGGCAGGGTAAGCAGGGGAAGTTATGTCGGTACTGTAGAAATCATGGTCGGTAGCGTGTAGGAGTAGTTGCGAGATGACAGAAAAGACTAAAGTGGTGGATTGTGATTGTGGATTTTGGGGTGAGGTAATGAGGTCGTGAAAGGGATGGAGGACTGGAAAGAAAGTATGGCCACCCTGTAGCTGATGAGTTGATGTACCGGAGACGGAAAAGGAAGGGTGGGGTGGTGTAATGGTGTATTGTCAATTGGGAAGCCCTTTTAAGCGCAGCCCACAAAACGTCAAAAAATGAAACAGTAATAGAAGTGTTGAGCTAATAAAGTGTACCCAGCTTTCATGTTCTATATAATAATGGTTTGTTAATGTGATTTCTTTGCCTACCAAATGGATGCGTTGTTTTTTTTATCCAAGGCAAGCTCAAAGGGCATGAGACAAAGACTCAACACAAATACAGGACCGACTTAAAACCAACACATTAGTCTGTATGCAACCAGACTACGATGAAAGAGCCTGAAAAGCCACTACTTGGGCAGCTCTGAAGAAGCTCCGAGGAGCAAAGACACGACACTAACGGGAAAAAAAAAAAAAAAAATGGATGCGTTGACTGAACATAGTAGATGTTAGTTGATGCTGCAATTTACAGAACAAAACACACCACAATCGCTTCCTTATTTCCCAAACGCAATATAGAACAACAATGGGTAGATGTCGACCCAGCATGATACTTTAGAATACACGTCAGCACACAATATCAAGAACCTGGCTTCAAACTTGTGATTGTAGAAGGGGAGAACTGAGGCTGCTGTTGTTCCTGGCATACTGAACTGGCAACAATGCTGGATCACGGTATGCGGTAACTAATTTATCGTAGAACTCAGCCATGTTCGGCCGATTTTGGTCTTCTTTATCTTTTTTCACGATACTCTGCAGCACAAGGACGCCAGATATGTCAAGGATACTGTACAGTAATCACATCTGTGAATGCTTAACTCTCACGGTAAAAATGTGCTATATGAAAATAGAGAATGGAAGGAGAGTGATTGCGTACCTCGGTTGGATAGTATTGAAATAGGGGTACGAATCGTCTGCGGCAGTACTCATTGAAGAGAAGTGTGAGAATGGGGAGCGGCACAGTTAAAGTGGATGCTAAAGGAAGCTTCTTCAGCCCAAATATTCCAATGGCAATAACATGCATCAGGATCAAGGAGAAGATTGTGGAACCATGTACTATTGGCCAAAACCTTCCATTAGTTTCGTACTTCGGTTCATATACGTTTAGTAGCTGGAGCAAAGATGAGGAGGTTGTTAGATAACAGGTAGTGAGGATTATGTACCTTATCTATGAAAGATTATAGTTCAGTTACCTGGTTGCGGAAGGTGATGTATCCAATGCAGAAGTAGATCAAGAGAAATGGAAGGATTAATGGTGCGAGGAAGAAGTATGTTGTGCCCAGGAGTCCAAAGAAAAGGATTCTCGGAATTTCGCTGTGGTAGGGCAGCTTTGGGACCTCGATTTCCTCATCGTCATTACTGGAAAACACTCCAGTCACATAACTCCAGAGCAGAGAAGTCAGCTGAGAGATTTCAGATGATAATTTCGTCCATCCAGATGTTACGACGTATGAGATAAAGAAGGTTGCCTGCAGCCAGAATGAATTTGCATTTTTCATGAGAGGTCACATAACCGAAAATCAGGAGAATTCCCTCGAGTTAATCCACCTAATCCCCAGAAAATGTTGACTCATTCTGCAGATGTTATGTACACATGACAGATGTTGCTTTGTTAAGGTATGAAATGGATCATTACCTGACCTGGAACAGCTTCAGCTAGTATTTTGGGAATATTCTTCGGCTCAAGGAAGATATTCACCTGATAGAAAGCTGAACCTGATAGTACATTTGCAAAAAAGATGTTCCATATTGTAAACCACAAAACCTTAGTACATGCGCTTTTTTCCGTGCTGCTAGATGAAAGGTATCCCTCCATTGAGGACAACATTAACATAACAGGTGGCACCAGATACAGGAACAGCTGCAGAATGAGACTTGGTAAATATCCAGTAACGATTTGGCTGACAATGGTCCTGCAAGTCAAATGGTACTGCACATCAGTACCCAATAAAGTACGATTATACAGATGAACTACCTTTTAAGAACACATGCTAAGAACTCGATGTGATACAAATAAGTGTCTGCCTCAGTCGTAAGGCTTGATGTATCAGATCATCATGAGCATAGCAAGATATTATTACAGGAGCTAAGGACACTAACTAGTTCTCTAAGGAAAACTACTGCACTTCAAGTGACATCAAAGAGAACCTGGAATTAAATTTTGCCTTTGAAAAATACAATTGAATATACAAGACCATGTTCACTTACAGATCTAGAATGCCTTTCAGGAAAGGAAACCAAGTTTCCAGCTGCTCCAGATTAGCCAGACCTTGCACTAAAACAACTGGAATAAGGAAGAGAATTGTGAGGGCAACACACGCAACCACGACAACTATCCTGCTAATCCATCTTTTCATGAATGAAGAAGAAAAGGACGACCAATGGATGTCACGAGGCTCAGGAGCTTCCTCTGTGAGCCACTCTGTGGGATCGAGACCTTGTTGCATATGAAGAGCTACTGCAGCACCAAATCGTGACTTGAATGACACAAAAGCAGCTGGAACTTCCTGATGAATTTCATATCACGCAAAAGTAGAGATTTAGATTCTACCCTCTTAAACGGTCAAAGGCGACTTCTTTACAAAATGTCTAATATGCATATACATGTGAACAGTGGAATGAGCACATGGGTAAAGGTGGCCAGCCTTCAATTCTAGACGAACTAAGATGTGCAGACTTGACCATCTTGTCATTTGTTCTGTGATCATTGTCACAATGAAATAGCACAAGAGGCTCTGGCTGACCGTATAGTAGCTTTTCTGAAAAGAGGTTCGACTTGTATCTACTGGAGAATTTCAGTGGGAAAAGAGCTATAGACCACGATAACCACGTCATTTTATGTATAACATTGTCTAGTTTGTCCCCTACTGTTTAAATTTCCCAGTGAAAGCAGTTTAGCAGATCAACCAGGAGATTAATGACTGTTACACTTGTGAAATCAAGGTAGAAATGGTCTTACAACGCTGGTTTTAGGCAACCCCCCAGTCAAAGAATGCTGTTCTGTTCTCACATTTCTCTCCAAATCTTCCAACTTTTGCTCATAATGGCTGACATCAGTATCCCTGCCCTGGAAGAGGCCCAATAACCTATCTTTTTTATTTATTTGCTGCGAACTCTGTGATTTCGCCCGGGCAAGAGTTCTGTATAGTTTCTCTGCATCTTTCTGCATCACAAAAGAGCTTAATAATCAATGGCATTGCATAATATATGAAAAATAATCGATGCTTTAAATTAAAAAAGGAATGCATCTCTACTCTCTAGAAATGATGTATAAGGGAAATGCTCCCCAATTACTGCATTATGGAATGCTTGTACAAATTATCTGCGACAGTTTGTTGTATCATAGTAACGCACGAGACATGGAAGTTGAGACAGTTTTGTTCCACAAAGTATTAGCCATTTGCCTTGAAACTTCCCTAGCTTCTTCTCATTAGCTACAACCTTCATTGTGCAACACCCTATCATAAGCTTTGAAGAAGTGGTTCACAACATCTTTAGCAATAACAATATAAGGCATAAGCTCATTTCAAGGTGCAAGGACAAGCAGATGGAAAAAGATTCATAGAGCAAGCTGACCCCATGCAAGTACAATCGAACAGATAAAGAGGTCTTTAATTTAACGAAGCAAAAGGAAAACATCATCACCGTAGCCTCATTTCTAATGAATCAATCTGCAGTCCACCCCAAAAAGCTTACAATGAGACTTCGAATTTTGCTCGTACGATGAACCACCATGTGCGAAAGATATGTAGATGGATGATTATCAGTAAAAAACGCCTGGACAGCTTCACTAAAGCTTCTTCCTTCAGAAGATGGTATACCACGGACAACAATCGTATAGTGACGTGGCTGAGGTGGAGACGAGTGAAAAGAAGCAATCCTTCTCAGGGAGATGTGGTTATACTCCTGCAAATTGTACAAGCATTCAAGTCGTTCCATTGACACAACTCAGCTTCATAGATGGGAGAATGACAACAGAACAGCAGAACAGCAGAACAATGATTTCCATTTTCACTTACATAATAAAGAAGGTAGCAGACAACTCCAGTAAAGATGTAGGCAGCCGAAAAGTGAACCCATAACCTAGATAAAGCGAAACACTATCATCAAGTATCTTATTGCCGCCATGGACTGGGAATTAGTAATTACTTAACAGTTCCTAAAATCCAGATTCTGCAATTGGAGCTAAGTTACTCAACCTACAGGTTCTTTACTCACCAGAAAACTCACGGATCGATTACAAAGTATGACTAGAAGTGAGAGGAGGAGGAGGAGGAGGAACTCACCAGTTTGATCCATCATTAACATTCGATATACTGAAAGTTTCCAGATTCTTGTTCGGCAAATCATAGAAGTCGATACTCAATTGATTCCCCAAGTAGTTCACCGGAAGGAGAACGAAAATCCCAATCGCCCCGCCGATCGCGAACACTCTCGAGCTGCAATTTTTTAACCAGCAACACAGACGAATGAGTAAATATAGCGAAAAAGGAAAGAAGAGAGCAACTGAAGTAAGAAAAAAAAAACCTGAAGACGAAAATGCGTATGAAAACAACAGCATCGAGGCCGGAGCGGCAGAGCAACTCGTCCTCGGAGACCTGCCACGCGCGTCGCACCCAGCCAGCGGAAGGCAACAGCATGTCGAAGTTGAAGAAACCATCCTCCTCCTCCTCCTCGTCGCCGCCGTTCTGAGATTTTCGTCTTTGCTTAGCGATCTGGCGTGGAGCGTAGACGGCGCTGTTCCATGGCTGCTTCCGGAGCACGGAGTAGAGAGTGAAGAACAAGAAACAGAGGCCGAGATTGATTCCAACTGAAGTGAGCAGGGCCGAGAGAATCATATCCCTCTCTCTTCGTCTCTCTACTTCCAAGTGGAAGGAGAAGTGGAGATTACAGAAGTAGGTTGTTGCAGAGTGGAAGGAGGGGAAGGAAACTGCAGAGACGACGACAGTCGACAGGTAGTAAAGGAAGTGAGATTTTGGGTTCTGAAAAGAAGAAAGTCGGATGAGCAGTGACTTAAACTGCAACTAAAAAAGCTTTCTCCAAAAGGGGGAAAAGAAAATTTGAGCGGCAATTTAGCTATTTGGTATCTTTTTGGGGGGGGGTTGTGGCGTCATTATGGGGAATGATTAGCTGGGGTGCTCCCTAGGGTATTGTCGACATGATCGTATGGCTTAATTACCATAATACCATTCTCCAATTGAAAACTGTACTGTGCAAGTTGAGTACTTAACTGATGATTATCCACAATGATGGTGTAAGTATATTATTCGTACAAAATGATCACCTGCTTTTCAATTTCATCTGAATACTTTTTAATTTTCAGTTTTTCCTCATCAATAGACAACATTCCCTCTCATCAAAAAATTAATTTAGAAGAGGTTAGAATCTGCATCCAAACTAATTCTTTTAGTGTGTATCTCATTCATGTTTGACTTGGTAAAGAAAACTTACTTATCCTCAATTGGATTTCAAATTGTCTCCAGTCTCTCCCTCCTATGCAAAAATTAGTGAGTTTCGTAAAAAAAATCGTTCCTAGAGTATGCACATCAATGGTATTTTCTCAATTGCATATCGTACATGGCACTCAGTATGCAATTGCAAAGAGTATTGCATCAATGTAGTGTGTAATTTCAAAGATGCAAACTTGTATTAAATGAAATTCATGATGAAAGCCACATAGAAAAATAATAAAACAATAATTTATTTTCTTTCTTAATTTATTTACTTTTATTTACTATAAAGTCACTTAAACCTTCATATGCAATTCCAAGTGAATTGCATTGATGTAGGTGTAATGAAATAAAGTTGAGTTGGATTGCATAAATTTTGAGATAGCAATAAAAAAAATTATATGCAATTGATTTTGCAATTGCATTGATGTGGATGCCATTATGATTTTCTTTCTCAAACTCACCTTCATTTGATCTCTCAGATAACCCATTTCTATTTTTGACTTTAGTTACTTAAACTTATGTATTCCATTGGTTGCCTAGAAAATAACTTATTTCCCCCAACCAACCCAATCTTATAATTCTTTCTGATATCAGTCCAAATTCATTAGATTTTTGCATTCGTCGTCCTTGTTGGATGGATTTTGTTAGAGATTCATCTTGGAGATGACTTCTAGATAATCACTATTATTAGCAATGACTACTCTGTCAATCAATATTGATGATATTGTGAGTGAGATATGAACTGGAAACATCCACCTAGATTTTTCATTTATATGCGTTTTGTTGTTTGGTTTAGTTTATATTAGTTGGTTCAGTTGTTTAGGGTTGGATACTTTGATTGTGATCTGATATTACCTAGGTAAATTTTGATGTTAGTTGCAATCTTTTTTTTTTTTTTTTGTTAAACAAAAGAGTAATGATCAAATGAACGAAATTTTAGAAGAAAATGAAAGAAAGTGGTCATTTTGAAAGAACACAAAAGTTACCTCACCATTTCAACAATTGAAAGCAGGAAACAAGAAACAAAGCAGCACACTAATGGCACGCAATTCAAGTTGGTGAACGGCTTCAACGGCAAAGAGAAAGAAGGAACCTCCTCTAAAGCCTTTGTTCCAACCGCCCGGCAAATTCCAATCCAAATCTGCAAATCATTTTCCGGCCATGGAAGTCCCCAGCACCCACCAATCTCCTCCTCCTCCGTACGATCTCATAATCCTCGGAGCGTCCGGATTCACCGGCAAGTACGTTGTTAGAGAAGCTCTCAAGTTCCTCAATTCCCCATCTTCCCCTCTCAAATCCTTCGCCATCGCCGGCCGAAATCCTTCCAAGCTCTTCGAAGCCCTCAAATGGGCCGCTCATCCCAACTCTCCACAGACCTCCATCCCGATCCTCTCCGCCGACACCACCGACCCTGCTTCCCTTCGCCTGCTATGCTCCCAAACCAGGCTGCTCCTCAACTGCGTCGGTCCATTTCGTCTCTACGGCGACCCTGTCGTTGCCGCCTGCGCCGAGACCGGCTGCGATTACTTGGATATCTGTGGGGAGCCGGAGTTTATGGAGAGAATGGAAGTCAATTACCATGACCAGGCGGTTGAGAAGGGCTCTCTGATCGTTTCCGCTTGTGGGTTCGATTCGATTCCGGCTGAATTGGGGTGGATGTTTAATTCCAAGCAGTGGCCTTCCGCTGCTGTTCCGAACCAGATTGAGGCTTACTTGAGCTTGGAGTCGGAGAAAACGATTGTTGGCAATTTCGGGACTTATGAATCGGCCGTCCTGGGTGTTGCCAACATGGACAAATTGCAAGAGCTTAGAAGATCCAGACCCAAAAGACCTAGGCCAACGGTGAGGAAACAACTTTTTGTTACATTGTGCTACTTTTTTCAACACTCCGTAGTTAGCTTGCTGAATTGAACTGAGAGAGTGGAATTTGCTGATCATTTAGCTGACTGTCCATTGATGCTAGAACGGTCTAACCCCATTGGTAGGCAGGTTCGTTGACATTGCTCCGTCTGTAGTAGACTTATGCTGACTAATGCAGTGACTTAGCAGGGTAAAATGATTTGCTGCTATGACTATAACATTTGATGAATGGAAATTTTCTTCAATCATTAGGTAAGTCAGACTGTTATTGGTAGCAGTATAGATTGAAATCCATGCTGAATCACGCCAGATGTCTAGATATAGTTGTCTAACTGGATGCCAGTCATGCTCTTGAAGTCTTTGATATGTGAGAGTAATGTATTGCTGCTGTATTACTTTATCTCTTTTCATGCTGATAAATTGATAATAGCTACTCCTCCCAAGGACCTATCATGGATCACCATTACCACAGTGTTGACAGTTAAGAGAGATCATAGTTGCTGCATTACAATGTTTTGCAGATTCCTGGGCCCTATCCTCCTAAAGGGCCAATCATAGATCAGCAAAAGGAGTTTGGTCTTTGGGCTATAAAGTTGCCGTCAGCTGACTCCATTGTGGTAAGAAGAACGCTCTCAACGCTAGCAGAACATCCTCATGGCCTTCCCGGGGTCAATGAGACTGACGAGCAGATTGAGAAAAGGGAGAAATTCTGGTCGGTGATGAAGCCAGCCCATTTTGGGGTGAAGCTGGGATCCAAGAGCCTGTTGGGTGTATTTCGGATCATCACTCTAGGCGTGTTCATGGGGATCTTGGGTAGAAGCTCCATTGGTAGGTGGCTGCTCTTAAAGTTCCCGTCGTTCTTCAGCCTTGGATGGTTCAAGAAGAAGGGTCCTTCCGAGGATGAGGTTGACAGTGCTTCATTCAAGATGTGGTTTGTTGGACGTGGTTACAGCGACCTGAGTCAAGCCTCAGCAGGGGACAAGAAGAAGAAGCCAGATGCAGAGATCATAACGAGAGTGATGGGCCCTGAGATTGGCTACTTGACGACGCCTATTGTGTTGCTCCAATGTGCTCTTATTGTTCTGGGACAACGTGACAGTCTCCCCAAAGGAGGAGTCCTCACTCCTGGGATTGTGTTTGGTTCGACGGATCTTCAAGAACGGCTCCAGCAAAATGGGATTTCATTTGATGTCATTTCGAGGAAAAATGTTCCTACTTAGTGGCTGGAGGCTCCTAATCATATCGAATTTGGGGTATTATACCATTACTTGATTCTCTAAACCTTGTACCCTATTTCTCTAAACTCTAATGGCACATATGGTTCGTTGGATATATCTCGACAAATCAGAATTATCGAATATTGTTCAGTGTAATTGATCATATTGTTTAAGGTTTAGAGAATTAGGTTCTAGAATTTACTAATTTGAGTTTAGGGTCTATGACTCACCCTTTCAAGAATTAGGGTTTCAGATTCACTGAATGAGGGTTTAGAAATGTACAGTGATCAAGTATCTTCACTAAGAAAATCTCTCAATATTTTAAAACCAATTAAGAACACAGAGCATTGTACCATATAACATAAGTAGATAACAAACCAAATATCTTGATTCTTAAATCGTGACATAATTAATATCTTACAATGAGTACACACCTCCGGTGAGGACACGAGTCAAGATGAGATAATTGAGTCTCATTAGTTGAAAAATGATAGATGTTAGGAACTTTTAACTTTATAATAATTAATAAGTTTAAAAAATCGTCTATATTTATTGACATCGTGGTCGAGAAACTATCTTTTAACGGGTCAATGTTTCATTAATTTGCATTAAACTTCCAAGAAATAGATTAAAAAAAATATTTTTGAAAGTGTGATTAAAACAATATAAAAGAATCGAATACACAAAACAATTTAAGTCGCAAGATAAGTTGATTAACATAAATAATAATCAAAACTCAACCGCCCAATAGATCGAACACAAAGCTAGTTGGTAAAGATGGAATAACTCAAGAACTAGAAAACTCAAAACAAATTCCAACATATTAGACTGTCAACCTATCCGGAATACTTAAAATGGGCACGACTAAACTTGGAGATAAATCAATTTCTCACACAGCTTCAAAGGCCCAATTAGAGCACCCATCACTTAGTAGAGACAACTCGCCTTGAAATGACATCAAAAGAAATCCCATTATGCTCGAGACGCTCTCGGAGATTAGTCGGACCAAACACGATCCCTGGAGTGAGAACTCCTCCTTTGGGCAAGTTGTCACGTTGCGCGAGAACAATCAAAGCACATTGCAGCAAGATGATAGGGGTCGTCGAATAGCCCGCATCAGGACCCATGACTCTTGTTATGATCTCCGCATCGGGCTCCTGCTTCTTGTTCCCAAACTCTGTCGATGTCCTTCGGCTCAAGTCACTGTATCCGCGTCCGACAAACCACATCTTGAAGGAAGCGCTCGCGACCTCGTCCTCAGAAGGACCCTTCTTGCTGAACCATCCAGCGCTAAAAAATGATGGGAAGTTGAGGAGTAGCCACCTTCCAATAGAACTTCTACCCAAGTAGCCAATAGAGACGCCAAGAGTAATAAATTGGAAGAGACCCAAAAGGCAATTAGAACCCAACTTCAACCCAAAATAAGCAGGCTTCGTCGCCGACCAAT